CACATCTCAGGCTCGACTCCACCATAGCACGATATTGTCCGCTTTGGGCCCCGACCACGCCCTCACGGTTTTGTTTCTGGGAACTCACGAGCAACTTCCCAATGGGTCACCCATCCTGGGATTGCTCTCGAGCGAACTCGCTTAACTTCGGAGTTCCGATGGAACCTGAAGCTAGTGAGCTCCCAAAAAGCCTCGTGCTATGTAGAGATGAGAATATACATATAAGGCTTACATGATCCATTCCCTAGGCGATGTGGGATCTTACATGATATTTATGTATTACTTTTCAATCAATATTCAATTTCCATGATCCTCAAAGGTATGAACTTCAAATCTCCAAAGTTGTCATTTTCAATTTTTTTGCAATTTGCTAATTCATATATGTTGTCATCTACAATTGTAAATTAATTTAACAAATAATATATATATATAATATATATTTTAATAGATTAAAGAAGAATTTCATTATTCCATCATTCCATCAAAGAAAAGACATTGAAGTTTATTTAATTGATCAACAACCCAAAGTATGTATTTTACTCTCAATTTCTCGTACAATTTTTTGTTTATAAATTATGATTAAATTGATGTCTTGCAATTTCTCTTAATTATTTGCCTAATTTGTTTTAGTTTGTAAAATTAGCATATATATACTATGCAACGGTTTCAAATTATGAAAACTCGTCGAGGATAATTATTTTAATTATTGGAAATATGTAATATTATCGATGCTAAGTTATTTTGAATTTTGGTTACTTTTCTATATACTATGATGTTTTGGTTAACAATTTTGTAACTACTATCGATTTAATTTTTTTTTTAATATTTGTGAGCGGCCCCTCCTAACCCGAAATCCTGGCTCTGTCACTGCTCCCACTTCCGGCTCCCTCTTATTTTGTGTGGTCACGGTTAAGTCACGTTAACATTTTATATTGTTTTTTATACAGATAATAAGACAAAAATGAATAGTAATATAAAATGTTGACGTGGCTTAACCGTGACCACACAAACAGGAAGGCACGGGAGGGCACCGGAAGTGGGAGGGTAGACAATCCTTGTCCAATTTCAGTATGGTTTTGTTGCCTACAAAAGCTATCTCGTTGGCATTCGGCACCTGGAGTGGTTTCACTGGGTGCCAGGCTGGTTTTTTGGCTGGGTGTTGGCCTTTCTCACCCCCGTTGGAACTGCTCTAATATGACACTGGGTATGAGTGCCAAAGAGAAAGCAATTTAAATAGAATTATCTTACTCTAATTAATACCGAGACGTTTTGTAATAAAATCTCACACCTGAGGATTGACTGGGTGGTAAAGTGGGAACAGTATCGGTGTTGTTGGAGTGGGCCCTCGGTTCGTTGACCTGGAAAATTCTACAGCTGTTTGGGAGTGCTTTTCAAAAAAGTCCTTTCACATAATAAATAAAGAACGTTTATGAAGAGGAAATTATAGCAATGATTCATCAACTTTAATTCAATTGGAGCAATGATCTCTCAACTTTAATCCAATTGGAGCAATGGTCTCTCAACTTCAACTGAAACCCAGTTGGAGCAATGGTCCCTCAACTTTAACCCAATTGTAGCAATGATCCTTCTAACATAACTCATTTTGACGAATTTCTGACGGAATTAACAAAAATGACCATAGCTGCATATTTTGATAAGTTAAGAGACCAATGGTCATTGATTTTCACTTGAAGGACTATTGCTCCTATTGAATTAAAGTTAAATGATCATTGCTACAATTTTCTTGTTTATGAATTATGAAAATGTTCGAAACAAAAGTTTCTTAGGTTGTAAAAGCACTTAGAAGCATCTCTCTTTAGCCAAAGTTCTTTTTCGATGCCCTAAGTTATGAATTTGGATTATCTTCATTTCTCAGCCGAAGCCAATTTAACTCTAAACTGGCAATCCAAAAATAAATCTTGCTATAAACTTATTATATATAGCACGTATATACCCATTTTTCAATAGGCCTATAATTTTTTGGCAACCGAAAATTGTAGAATCATTGAAACAGTCAAATTGCCAAATTCGAAACATCTTTTTACCATTAGAAGAAGAAAAATACCAATTAACTTAGAGCTCAAAGTATTATAAAAGGGATAATGCTATTTTATTTATGCAAGGATGAACTCATTCCACCACTTACAAATAACGTATTTTTACCATAAAAATTTCATGATCAGAACCGTTTAATCTGTTACTTTCATTGCTACGAAAAATCATTCAAATTGGAGATCATTTAGTCATCCAAATATATCAAATAAGTCAACGTTCATTATAAATATGCTATTTGATACCTACATTATTGATTTATTTGATATATTTTAATGACTAAACGATCTCTGGTTCGAATGATATTTTGTTGGTTTATTCTAAATGAAGATTAAGAATTGTCAATTGGGCAATTTTTATGATGAAGAAACAGTAATTGCAAGTGAATGAATAAGCTCCTCCCCCAAAGAGAGAATGCTAATATTATCCTTATAAAAAGAGCTATGGAGACTCTTCATAAATTCTATGCTACCTTATATTTTTGACACAATATTTCATAATATTGATATAGAAATTAACGTTAAATTATAAAATGACAAAAAAATTATAAAAAATTACATTTTAAAAGAGTCTCCTTGTCATTTCTCCCTTGTAAAAATTATAAGCTTTCGAATTCGCCACAAAATTCGAATCTAAAAACCACATAAGTTGAATAATAATATTAAACCATTATCAGTTAGCCAACTTGTAGTTCATGGTCCATTAATGTGGAGTTCGGATCCTCATCGGATCCTCTTTGTAGGGATTCCAGGGGATTCGTGAATGGTGTTTGTTTATCGTACATCATGTAATCAGAAATCATTTTAAATATTTTTATTTAAAAATAAATATAAACAGTACTTGACAAAAACTGATTACGATGAACAGATACGATTCACGGATCCCTAGAATCCTCACTAAAATGATCTGGAGAAGATCTTCTCTGATTAATGTGAGGACTCGTGGACTTACTGTGGGCCATGGCGCTGAGGTGTCAAGAAATGGGAGGACCTCTGGACGTGGCCAACAGCCATGTAATCTATTAACTATATGTGGACCCGGGTGCTGAGGTGTCAAGAAATGGGAGGACCTCTGGACGTGGCCAGCAGCCGTGTAATCTATTAACTATATACACCCCAAAATGTCGAAAATCTCCGGGCCCGGGTGCTGAGGGATATGGGAATGGTGTCCGTTTATCGTACATCGTGTAATCAGAAATCATTTTAAATATTTTATTTAAAAATAAATATAAACAGTACTCATGGACCAAAATATAGATAATATCGGCGAAATATCAATATTATTGCGAGATGCAACCCAAAAATACTTGAAAATTTCTGAAAAGTCTCAATCTCATCTGGACGTGGCCAACAGCCATGTAATCTATTAACTATATGTGGACCCGGGTGCTGAGGTGTCAAGAAATGGGAGGACCTCTGGACGTGGCCAGCAGCCGTGTAATTTATTAACTATATACACCCCAAAATGTCGAAAATCTCCGGGCCCGGGTGCTGAGGGATATGGGAATGGTGTCCGTTTATCGTACATCGTGTAATCAGAAATCATTTTAAATATTTTATTTAAAAATAAATATAAACAGTACTCATGGACCAAAATATAGATAATATCGGCGAAATATCAATATTATTGCGAGATGCAACCCAAAAATACTTGAAAATTTCTGAAAAGTCTCAATCTTGCGCATAGAAGGATTCGAACCCCTCCCATTTGACTCCTTCAACACCTTGAACACCATATCACTTATGTTTTTGTGAAAATATGCTAAAATATTTATATATATGGTTTTGTTTTGAATTCTTTTTGCAAGAAACAAATTTGCACATAGTCCAAATTTTTTGTGGTAGTATATTTTAAATTGTGTCAATTAATTACTTAGTCAATGACATGTGGTTTTTAATTTTTCTATTTTTTATTTGGTCACTTACATGTAGGGTTGGAAAAAATTCCCGAAAATCCCAAACCAAACTGAAAAAGTCCCAAACCCAAACCGAAAAATCCCAAACCAAAACTATTCCGAAAAATACCGACATTTTCAATATGGGATTGGTTTCCAAATCCCATTTGTTTGGTAATCCCGAAATCCTGAAAAATACCGAAGTATTCGGTTTTCTATTGACTTTTGGGTTTTGGTTCTTGAAAGCCATTGTCATGGTTGCTGACTACTCTTCACAATACACTTACTTTACACATAGAGATGATGAAGATAGTGAAATTTTTTAACCTTATAGGAACTTTATGTGGTACTAAGTCACTCATGTATTTTACTATGCAATGTACAAAGTGTGAAATATTGTACTAATTCATTATTTATAAATGATTATGGTGTGTTTAAACTTCTTTCATTAATTACTACATATTTTCTACTCACAATGTTTGTCAGCTTGCTATATAATCAATTTAAATCAGTTAAATCCATCATGCAATGCATTTCCTTCCATTTTTTGTGATAAACTAATAGACAATTGACTAAATAAACATCTTGCAAAGTTTCAATAAAAATTTCCAAGTTTTTCTTACAATTTTCGTGTTTTTAAACTATTGATATTTACGATATCATCGATATTTTAGATCATGACAGTACTTGATAAAAACTGATTACGATTCACAGATATGATTTATGGATCCCTAGAATCCTCACTAAAAGAATCCGGAAAAGATCTTCTCTGATTAATGTGAGGACTCGTGGACTTACTGTGGGCCCCGGCGCTGAGGTGTCAAGAAATGGGAGGACCTCTGGACGTGGCCAGCGGCCATGTAATCTATTAACTATATGTGGGCCAGGGCGCTGAGGTGTCAAGAAATGGGAGGATCTCTGGACGTGGCCAGCAACCGTGTAATCCATTAACTATTTGCACCCAAAATGTCGAAACTCTCCCCCCCCCTCCCCCATGAAAGGCAACTTTCCACTACAAGTCTACAAAGCGAGATACGAAATAGGGGGTAAAATTGTCCATCGGACAAATTAACGCCGAAAGGAAAACCGTTGGAAGACTCCAAAGAAGAAACCGAAAAAACATTGAGTTGTCTGCGTTCGATAGACAAACGCAGAATAAGCTCGAACTCAAAGCTCCCAGAGAAAAAATGATACAATGGCTGACGAGGTTGAGAGCTGCATTTGGCGCCTCGTTCATCTGGCTCGTTTGCTTGATTTACTTCACCCAGGTTCTCTCTCTCTCTCTCTCTCTCTCTCTCTCTCTCTAGAATTATATCTTTTTTGTTGATCCTGGTGTACTTTGAATCTCGCTGTTTAATTAGTTTCTTGATTTTTGAGGAAATTAATTTTCTGGGGCGTTGCGGAATGAGGTTTTTAGCATTTCTAGGAGGTGGAGATTGCGATTCTAAGGTTTTGGGTTGCTGGGTTTTGTGTTTTTATTGATTTGGGTGATTTTTGAGAGAGATCTGTATTTGAAAGTGTCCTTATGTAGAAGTTGGGAATGATATTATATTAGGAGGCATGTGAAATTTTTTATCTTTCAAATTATCGAAATTAAACACGATTGATGTGAAATTGTTTCTTGGATGTTGGTTTTAAGAAGAATCTGTATGGTGATTGATAAGTGCCTGTTTGATGTATGGTAGGGTTTCAGATCCTTTGTATGGACGGCAGTGTCTTACCAGCTGAAAGATAGGCTTAAGTTGTCTCCATCGTCTTCCCAGTTCGCGTTTTCGATAGCTTTCTTTCCATGGAGCGTTAAACCGCTATACGGGTATGGATCTTCTGTTACTCAGTACACACAAGGAACGTGCACGTTTTGGATGTTTTAGATAATTTAGATGTGTTCTTAAGTATGTAAGCATTAAAAGGCTTTCTTCTGTATAGCAGCTTCCATAACCTTTATGTGCTGCTTGTTTGCATCCTTTTTTATTTGAATTCAAAGCACAAATTAGTCTTCGTAGTGAAGTCATTTAGAAACAAATCTGGAGTAATTTAATGAAAAAGAAATCATCATGTAATGTGACAAAAGATGTGCTTGATTCTTTTGCTTATTATCATAAGGGTACTGTCGTCCTAAGCATTGAATTTATGTTGTAGCTCAGAGAGTCGGAATGGGGGACATGCTTTTTTGTCTTTCGCAATGTGCCCACGTATTAATACATTTCATGCGAGTGCATGAGCAAATACAGTTAGTTAGACATAGAGTTACACATCTCAATGGCGATTATCTTTGAGTGCCCAAAGGAAAAAAAAGGGGCTAGCTTGCAGTTCCTGAGTTTGCAGTCCAAGCATTAAAGCTACCTTTTTTGTATTTGCATTTTCTTATTAGTTCTTTCGAACCTGATTTTGCGTGTCTTTTATGCAGAATTGTGTCTGATTGTATTCCAATAAAAGGAAGAAAAAGGGTTCCCTACTTAGTGATTGCAACTGTGCTCTCTCTTGTGCCATGGCTTGTTCTTGGCCTGAATGCGACATTGAGGAATTCCAGTTGGCAACTCATGACCTTCTTAACAGTCCAGAACCTGGGCTCAGCGATGGCAGATGTAGTAGTTGATGCAATGATTGCTGAGGCAGTAAGACATGAAAAGTACGTACAAAACTGAGATTCTTTCAATTTATTTGCAATGCAGTTTGAGTTGCATATCAAGTACCCTGCAAACTTACTTTGCCAACATAAAGATCTATTGGCATGCAATCAGATGAACTGCTTACGTTTCATGCCTTAATTTCGGGAATTAGCATGATTGTAACTGGCCCTACAGTAGGCTCCCCTGTAAATGTCTTGTATTGCCCCAAATGAAGATGTGCATATTTCATTCCCCCTTATTTCTGCTGAAATTTTGTCTAGTTCATCATGGATCTTTGTTCCCTTGTTAATGTGTTAAAGGATACAACTTGATATCTTAAAATTACCTTTATCAGGGCCTCATTTGCTGGAGACCTCCAGTCGATATCATGGTTTGCAATGGCTTTTGGTGGCATATGCGGGAGTTTATTAGGAGGATATGCACTGACCAACTTACAGATACACACAATTTTTCTGCTTTTTTCTGTTCTACCATCCATACAGTTGTTGTCATGTGGCTTGGTTGAGGAGAAATCTGTAGATAGTAAAGTTTTGCTTGAATCTTCTGATTCAAGAAGCTCCGATGGAGCGAATGGGAATAGTAGTTTTCTGGATGATGATAATTTCTCAGAGAAATCCAATACCACCATGTCAAGGAGGAAGAAGAGCAATAAGGGCAAGCAAAAGAAATCAGTTTCTGGTAAACTCGAGTTTGCTGGAAAAGAAGACTCATTGGCTTCACGGTGGTTTCACTCTCTCAAAGCAGCCACTTATAGTTTGTGCCACGCATTTAAACAACCACTAATTTTGAGGTAATTCAATTTTTGTTTATTTACTTGAGTTTCTTTCCATAGAGGTCGCACTTGGTGCGATGGCAAGTGCCTTCGCCCATGAGCGGTAGGTCTCGGGTTCGAGACTTGGGAGCAGCCTCTCCATAAATGGGGGTAAGGCTAGCCGACATTCACCTCTCCCAGACCCTGCGTAAAGCGGGAGCCTTGTGCACTGGGTACGACCTTACTTGAGTTTCTTTCCATGCCAGTTGAAGGAACACGTTGAGATTTTCCCTCTCTAGATCTGTTGCCATTGTTACAGTAACACACAATGATCTGGTCCGTGAATAAAAAGTTCCAAGAGTCTAGAATTTATGGGGAAACTCTAGAGAGATCTAGGGAGTCTAAATTAAATGTTTCTTTCCATCGTTGCTACTTGGTCCTGATGTCAATCTAAATGTTTTTTTTTTCCTGGAGATATAATTTGCTATTTTTCTCAGGATGTGGATATATTTTGAATTTTAATCTTGCTTACATTTGATTTTACTTTGTCTGATCAGACCAATGGCTTGGTTTTTCCTAGCACACGTTTCCATTCCGAACCTCTCGACTGTTATGTTTTATTATCAGACAGAGTATTTGAGCTTGGATGCATCCTTTTTGGGCACTGCACGTGTTGTGGGATGGTTAGGCCTCATGCTTGGAACCTTTGTCTATAATCGTTACTTAAAGACGATGAAATTAAGAAGAATACTGATGTAAGTACAATGATCTTCTGTTAATATTCTATCCCTTTCTGTTGAGATTATTTTGTTGATGGTGTATTGGTCTTGATCCATGCAGGTTGTCTCATCTTGGTTTGTCGATCTTGACACTCCTAGATCTGGTTTTAGTCACTCGAGTAAATCTTTCATACGGAATATCGGACAAAATTATGGTTCTTTTTGGCTCAGCTCTCAGTGACGCGATCAATCAATTCAAGTATGTGCATACTTTCTCATAGTAAATCTTTATTCATCACTTAATCCGTCTTACTAACAAGAAAGATCCCGTGAACTGCAGGTTTATGCCGTTCCTGATCTTATCTGGGCAGCTATGCCCACCGGGAATTGAAGGGACTCTGTTTGCCCTCTTTATGTCAATAAACAACTTAGGATCTACGTTGGGGTCATTTGTCGGCGCTGGCGTTGCATCAGTTCTGAACATCTCTTCAGGTTCTTTTGACAACCTTCCTTTGGGAATTGCCATTCAAATTCTCTGCACTTTCATCCCGATTGGCTTTCTGTTTTTGATACCAAAGGAAGCTACAGGGTTATCGGCGTAGGTTCAAATTTGTCATTTGTCTAATACGGTAGAGGATTTCATAGTTAGTGAAAAAGAATCGAATATATATCTTTTGCGAGATCTTCTCGAATTGAGAGTTCTTTACAGATGCACACTGGATTTTGAAGTTGTAGATACTTGTGAATGACACAATTCCAATTTACTACGCGGAATTTATATATATGTGAAAAAATCAAGATATGACGATTAAAACATCTAGAGTACCGTCTACTCCGGAGCACTCATGAATTTTTTATTGGGCTTTTGGTTTGGTTGCTCTCGAGCAAAGAACAATTGAGAATGAAGGCTCGATTTCCTCTACCAGGAGTTGGCCGCCGCAATGAGAATGGCTTAGTTTCCAATAGTTAAAATTTTAAGATAGATATAAGAACAAAAATAATTAGTTTCTTTCTTTGGTTGGAAAACAAAATAATTGGTTAGATTTTTCAGACTGTTACATTGCCTCCGTTTGTCGGCATGACAAATACGAAGGCCACCAATATTATTGTTTGGAAGTGTTTTTAAAATAATTGAAATCGTTTTTGATAAAATCGATTTTGGGTTGTAATAGCATTTGAATACTTTTTGGAAGAAGCACTAAATATATTTTCTTGCATGAAGCACTTTCATGATCTATTTGGATTTTTAGTATGAGATTGGTTTCAAAAACATTTACACCAAAAGTGTTTTTAATCATTTAAAAGAATTTCCAAATGAGTCCCAATAGTGCAAACAATCTTTAGATGGATACCAATTTAAGCTGGTGTGCTTAGAATGGTGCCCTAAGCATATTTCTAGTGTAAAGAAAAAAAATCCCTAAAATAGGGAATTGGATCTACTCTAAACCTTAGTGTCTAGAGCCTAGGGATAAAAAAATCTGGACCACGCACAAATTGAATCCGACAGTTCTCACTACCTCATTCTGCTGACCCATCTCACACAAACCAACAACTCTGATTCTTTTCTTCTTCTTTTTTTTTTTCACACAATCGAAGGCCCAATTTTCTTGATCCCTAGGCTCTGGACACATGTCCGTACCTTTCTTTGCTTATGCTAATAATAATATACATTCATACAACAAGCTACATACTAGCTTTAAGAAAATTAGTCGTACTAAGGTATGAAGGTAAAGTAAAAGGATTTTCTTATCTGTGAGATTTCGGCCGATAGAGGTGAAAGGTAAGTAGCGCTTCACCGGATTAATGGTGTTGTGTTTTCCACTGACACGAAAGCTTCTTGTGCTGATAACGTGTTGTGAAACCGACGGTATGTGTGCAGTGGAACATAAAGTAAATGAGACACAATATTTACGAGGTTTGGAAAGTGTGCCTACATCCTCAGGATAGTAGAAGTGGTCTCTCTCAATTATCATACTGAAATTACAAAGTAATGGAAACAATACATTGTATTTATGCTTCTCTATCATATTTGTAAGTTGATAGGTCTTTATATAGAGAAACTATATCTTCTTTTTTAAAGTTAAGAAATGTAAAAGTAGACAGCACAACTTCAATATTTGTTAGCTGTTGTGACTTTTCTTCAAGTGGGTCATCCACCTTATAATAACTCGTGTATTAACGTCCTTTGATTCTCATTTTATTTGCAAGATTGTGCAGTGTATAAAGGGTCTCTGCGAACCACTTCCCTTTCTTCAAAGTGTCAACATTTTGGAACTTAGAGTTCTCTAAATTTGCGGTTTCGCTCAGCAAAACCGCAAAAAAAAAAAAGGTTTATATATCAGAGCCAGGTTTCGATCCTGGGACCTGTGGGTTATGGGCCCACCACGCTTCCGCTGCGCCACTCTGATTGTTGAGAATTCAACTCCCACAAAACTATTTATTGCAAATTAAGATTTTGCCAAGTTAATGGTTGGGAGTTGGCTTCCCGTGCTACCTCATCGTCCTCAACTCCACTGAAGCGGGTCGCGGAAGAAGAACAACGATGAGGAGGAGACCTGGAATCGGCGGCTTGCAGAACGCCGCTGCCTCTAGGGTTTGTGATTTTTCTTCTTCTCCGCCCTTGATTTCGGCCGCCAATTCCTGGAATCCGATTACCCAAATCTGTCCTTTATTTGCAGGACCAATATCGTCTGCTGGGCGAGAATGTTGCCAAGATCAGAACCGATCTCATGAAGGAGCAGCTCACCACTTTCCGAACGCAGTTGGAAGATTTCGCTCGAAAGCACAAGGTCCCATTTTTCTTCTCAATCAATCAATTTCAGTACCAAATTATGTCAAAAAAGTTTACTGTTTGGCAAGTGATAGATTGTCCTGGCGGATAGATTGTTCCTCTTAATCCATTGCGTTTCGGGTTCAAACCCTCCCCTTCCTTCCGTAAGACTAGGAATATCGCTTCGTGGTACAAAGTTTATATCGACTGTTTGATATGGATGATGCAGAATGACATTCGAAAGAACCCAGCTTTCAGATCACAATTTCACAACATGTGCACGAAGGTCGGAGTAGATCCCTTGGCATCCAATAAGGGTTTCTGGGCAGAGCTTTTGGGGATTGGTGATTTCTACTATGAACTTGGTTGGTACCCATCTTAATATCATTGCATGCCTTTAATTGGGTGTGAATTGATTTGGTTGTTGCCAAGATTGTTCGGATATGTATGTGTGATCTAAAAGGGAGCGAATTTGGTTAGACAGGGGTGCAAATTGTTGACATTTGCTTGGCAACAAGACCCCACAATGGGGGTTTGATCAACCTGCAGGAACTCTGCCGTCTGCTTCGTCAGAGGCGGGAAGAGTGACCGTGAAGCTGTTTCCGAGGATGATTGCCTGCGTGCTATAAGCAAGCTCAAGGTAATTTGTTTTAGCTTTTCCATACATTACATGTACAAGTTTCCTTCAGAGTTGATGCGAACAAGGCACTTTGTTTGGGAGACCTTAGTCAAGTGATTTTTCCACCCAGACTGAGAGTAAGAGTAGTGGATTGTTTGCTTCTATGGTTTTACTAGAAGAGGTTCACCGTGAATTCATGCCACATTTTTGTCATGGGACTGACAACACTGCCTGGTGATTGCTGGAAGGGATATTAAGTATTGTTATCATTGTCGATGATGGTAATAATTGTTAGAGTATAATCTCATCTTGAGGAAGAGTTGACTTTAAGTGAGTTTGTCACTGCAACTGTATGAATAGCAAATAGTATAACTTTCTACTGACTTCATGCCACATTACGCAATTCGTTTAGTACACGTCAAAGCTTACAATTCCTTCTTATTTTGACCTCATCTCAAATTCTGTGTTTCATGATCTGGAATCGCGTTATCACGTTATTGACTCTTAAGCATTTCATATACTCTCTCTTAAGCAATGCATCATATCGTATCCCTGCAGTACGATGTACCATACTAGCATGATTTTTTACTAAGTGACGCATTGTACTTACATGTATTACTTGATTCCAGGTATTAGGTAATGGTTATGAGGTTATTTCTGTTGGAAAGAGAAAGCTTGTTCGTTCTGTTCCAACTGAGTTGAACAAAGACCATAATGAAATTTTAGAGCTAGCCCAGGTTCCAATCTTTTGTTTTATCTTCCTCCTAACTTTACATGGAAATTTTATCATAGATTGATTATTTATGGTTATGCTCCGCTTCTGTTCTATTAGGCTCAAGGCTTTGTGACCGTCCCTGAGGTGGAGAGACGGCTATCTTGGACCACTGGCCGTGCAATCGATGCCTTTGACACTTTATTAGATGTAAGTTGATGACATTTACTAATCTACTCATATTAGTATCCTCACTCTTGCCCTTTAGTCTATTTTATATGTATAGTAGGACTCCCGGGGCTCAATAAACCATTGATTTTCTCAGGAGGGTCTTGCAATGATTGATGATGGTCACAAAGATGGTGTACGCCGATATTGGTTCCCCTGTGTATCTTCCATCTCCACTCCACTAGGAGCCGACAGTTAACAAACACGAAATTTCTCAACATAATGGAGTTCAAAAGGGTTATAGGTGCATACCCAAACATTTGTGATTTATTTGTATTTTCCTTTTGTAATACTAGTTGGTTCAACAGACTGCTGCTGGATAATGTATTTCATGGTATAAAGAAGACGTTTGCATTTGAAAGTTGCGTGTTTTCTTGATACATGAATCTTGAACTAGATGAAGCTGATACAATAACTGGTGATCACATACATAGACATCAACTAATCTTTTGAAAGAAATACTGCATTATACATATGCAGTGAGTAAATAATTCTGTGAACTGAAGAAATGGTGGGTAATCAATTACGGGAAGTGATTTCCGCACTTTCTGCCCTTCCCTATTCACCTCCGACACTCCTCTCTTTAGTTCCGTCGTTCATTCTCCTATGAATTATTCAATGTACTGGGTAGATAGAATCGAGGACTGTTGGAATTGAAAATGTGAGTGTGGAAATCACCCGCTTTAATTAAAATCCCCAAAAGAACAAAAAGGTTCATTGGGCTGGAAGTTGTGAAGCAGTCTCAATTTCTTCAGTCCATTCAGAGGTAGGCTCACTCCAAGACCTGGGTCTTAACCCTAGGTTAAAATACAAGATCATCTCCAATGCCTCGAAAACCTTGTGCTGATCCAAAAGCTCATTCCAAATCCCACTTACAATGCAGTAATTGTTGTTATAAGGCTGCCGATGGTGTGCTGCATGTTGCGACCGGGATACCAAGACTCCTAAATCTTGCAACGCCACCACGAGCGGTGGCAGGCGGCTTTTAGTGCCGTGAGCCCAAGCATGAAACTGTTGGCTAAACATAATGGAGCCGGAGCACATTGCAACAAACCCATTAACAACCGGATCATCACACACAAGGTTTATAGGAAGCACAATGAAAGTCACCACGCGAGCTAAGGCATGTAAATTGTTGGCAAATTGTCGCTTAGTGATTGTCCAAGGCCACTTATGATGGCCTTGGAACGCTTCGATCTGGACGCCAAAAATTGGAGTCGAGGCATCGCCATAATTGTCAATGCCCCCAATGGTACACTCCGGACCCAAGGTCTGCCAGCACATACCCAACCAAGCCTGCCAAAATGGGCTCGAGCCATATGTGTGAATCAGCTGCACAAGTTATGGACTTGGCTAGAGAAACAAGGACAGTAGTGCACCCACTTGCCACCCATGTACGGTGAGACCATGTGGATAGCAAACTTGGGTCATTGGGTCGTGGAGGACGGATGGTGGTGTGAGTGTCTCTGAGTAGGGCGGGTGAGGGTGAGGGTGAGGGTGAGGGTGAGGGCTCGAGCCACTGTAGTGGCGGTTTGATGACTAGCTTTTCCGGGCTGGGGTTCGCCTTGGTAGTGGTGTTGGTGGCGGAGCAATGCACTCGAGTGCGGAGGATTGGAGTGTGGGAAGTGTGGAGTTGGTTTTTGGGACTTGGGAGGAACTTGGTTTGGGTTAAGATAGCCATTGGAGGGTGCTAATGAAAAAAGAGTATAAGAGGCTAACTGGAGGCAATATATATATATAACATTTGTTTGTGGTGATGAGAAGCTAAGGAGAAAATATTGTGGCAGGCATAGGGTAGCGTGGGGTTATCAACTCCTCAATCTCCTTCTTGTTACTTTGTCACAGATAATGTTCTTTTGGACTTAAAATGTCACCCTCCCCTCCCCCATATAAAATACTCAAATATTGCTATGATGATTTTTCTTTGTCGTGTAATAGTTAAAAAGGTCGTACCCAGTGTACAAGATTCCCGCTTTACGCAGGGTCTGAAAGAGGTGAATGTCGTGTAATAGTTAGATATATTATTAAATTGTGTATTTGAATACAAATTCAAATAATTTGTAGCTTAAGTAATTAAAAACGCAAGCTATTAGCAGCTTGGCAACGCCTCATTAACAAGAGAACATTATCTTTTTCTTTATATGGTGATGAAAATGAAAATTCATGGCATGCTTCTCAGACAGCTTGAGCTTTGACAATACTAGTGGACATGTTTTTGTATTCAACTAGACCACGCAAAAAACTCAGTTGAACAGTCAATGGCCTTTCATATGGCAAATTACAAACGTGGAAACATGTCAGCTGTTTAATCGTGTGGTCATTAGCAAGGTTTGAGATGGGGTGGTGGAATTCTTCGTTTCTCCTTGAGAATGCTTCTTGTAAATTACAGGACTAAAAGTACTCGGCTGTGAATATTAGTCCTCCAGCATCATTCAAATTATGGGCGAGAAGAAAAAACCGGTGAATTGAGAACCGAAACAAACCGAGTCAATTAGCCGAAATTAACCTAGTTGACCAAAACCAAAACCGGAACAAAGCGGCCTAAAACAGTTCAGTTTCTAGTTTTTGCTTTCAAAAATCCGGTTCAAACCAAACTGGGAGTGAATGTGTGCTTTTTTTTCTTTTTAACAAACTATATTATCTATATAAGGGGTGGAGAAGTGGGCTGAGCCTTATAATGAGCTAGTAATAATGTGGTTAAAATCCGTCTTTAGCTAGAATCGAACCTAAGACATCTCACTTACCAATAAAGAGGAATACTACTAAACCGTAGTACTAGTAGGGGTGAATGTGTTCATTAATTTTATTTTTTTAAATTATTAGGCTTCATTCTATAAGCTCAACCGACCATTCCTCTATCGCAACTCAAAACCCAAGGTCCCGTTTGATGAGCTAGATACGATAGGTTGTGATCAATTAAAATAGACTTAAGTCTAATCCATCGTTTGTTGTTTCAAAATTTGAGATGGACATGACTGGATATAATGTGTTATGAATCTACAATAGAGTGAGTTATCTAACATATTCTTAGAGCATTCCCAATGAAAGGCTCTATATATATGGCTGAAAAAGTGGTGGATATAGCCAATTTTAGAGTTCTGAGAAATCTTTAGGGTTTTATAAAAGAACCTTTCTCAATGCCGGGGGGGGGGGGGGGGCGCTATTTCTTTCGGGCTCTATATGAGGCTGTATATATTTATTTATGTGGTAATTTGATTATGCGATATTTTTTTTTGTGTTAACTTTTCTTAAGTTGATATTTGGACGTATTATCTTCTATTTTTTTAATGAAATTTTCAACCTAAAAAGGTTCAAAATTCTGACATAGTTAGATTTCATCACTTATGAACCGTTCATTGGATTAGATTCATTTATCTCAATCTCATCCGTTGAAAGATATAGACCCCCACTTCATCCTCGGTAATAATTTGATTTTCACGTACAACACAACCATTTACCTAGCACCAATTGGTAAATTAGTATTATGCAAGTGAGCCTTTTTACTATAATAGCTTATGTTGATGCAAAAAATCAGTGGGGACTTTGGTACAACAGAAAATGTTAAGTTTGTGACCTTTGCTAGATTGCTCCGGTCACTAGTGTGGGTAAGTATGCAAATGAATAGAGACAGGGAAGCAAACACAAGATGTACGTGGTTCACCCAGATTGGCTACGTCCACGAAGTAGAGGAGTTCTCATTAATTGTAAAGAGTTTACACAAGTACATAGGTTCAAGCTCTCATTTATTGAGTATTAGTGAATGATTTAGTACAAATGATATTAGGAAATATTGTGGAAGAATGTTCTCCTTTTATAGAAGAGAGTTTCTAGCTTTGATCTGACATTGACACGTGTCGTGTTGTGATTGGCTTCCGATGTTGACATGTGTCGTGCTATGATTGGCTTCTGATGTCGACACGTGTCGCGATGTGATTGGCCTCCTGGTTGGAGGGAAACTCTTCTGGGTCCTTGAAGGTATAACGTTGACTGGTGTTCGGTAGTTTCAGGATTGGTCAAGTATGGTACAAACAACTTATATCATTTTAAGTCTTAAACATTAAACATACAAACAAAATGTAGGAGGATCTCTTGAACAAAAATATGTAAGAAAAAAGAATAAAAAAAAGAATAAAAGGAGAGTATAAGTGTATTCGCAAGTGAAAGGAGAGTGAAAGAATTTGGCTCACATGGGTTGCTACTTTTCTCGTGGGATCCATTGTTTTTTAGGGCTAGATGCAACCCAAATTTATGTTACCCAATAAAGAAAGTTGCTAGCCAATGTGGTGGATCTAGTTTCATTTTCCGGTTTATTGGGGATAAAATTTCTCACTAAGACTTTAAATGTAGTAACCTCATGAGGATAAAGCCCCAATTGAGGATGCTCTTATACATGGGTTACAACTCTTATCTTACCAAGACCCAATCCTATCCAGCCCACCAAACAAGCCTTAAATATTTTTCAAAGCCAAATACCTGTTGACTTTTTGTGTATATTCCTGTAATCTTGGGATTCTTACTTTAATATGTTTTTATGTAAATTATTTCTTCCCTTATTGATAGGATTGTAACATCTTATAAATCCCTCATTGAGAGATGAATAAAATATACAATTATTCCAAAATAACATTCTCTTCTTGACACCAGAGCCTAGGTTAAGGGAAAAAAAAAACCCCGCTGCTGTGTGCAGAATCCAGATCACCAAGCCGCACGCCAAATTGTGTAGCGTGTCGTCCGATCATTAGCCGCACCGCCAGTTGTGCTGTGCACCGTATAACTAACGAGCGACGCTGTCGTTGTTGGATCGATCCCTTCTGTTCGTTTGCTTCGCTGCACCAGAGTATACATATTGTGTTGAAGCCCAGAACTCAGATCTCCATATCTGCCACTGTTGGCTGTCGCATGCTGCAATCCAAAATCCGAACCCAACCTTGCATGAACCAACCAGATCCGCCATTGAACTTGCTCGCACCCACCATCGCACTAGTCCACGAACCAGTTGCTGCAAGTTTTCGTTTGCTTGCACAAATCCCATCCGCTGCAATCCCTTAGTATTTGCACGGACTGAAGAAAGGAAACAATTAAAAAGGGAGAAAAAGCAGAAGCATTGCTGTGTTGGAAAAAAAGAAAAGGAAAAGAAAAATGAAAAAGAAGAAAAGAAAAAGAAGAAAAGAAAAAGAAGAAAAGAAAAAGAAAAAAGAAAAAGAAGAAAAGAAAAAGAAAAAAAAAAGGAAACAACAGGAAAAAAAGGAAAAAAAAAGAAAAAGGAAAAAAAGGGAAAATCATTGTTTTGTTTCTGAATTGCAGTTTGTTTTTTTTTTGTGGCCCACATGCTACAATTAAAATGGCTCGCGATGAAATCATTACTGCTCGGTGCTTCTTGCTATCATCCATCCAACAATTGTCCTTATTGTGGTTGGAGAGGACATTCCAAAAATCGTTGTTTCGAACTTATTGGCTATCCTGTTAATTAGGATAAGACTCGTGATCCCTGGTGTAATAAGCGCGTTCATTAATTGCTTAAACTAAGGTACATTCTGAACATACAGTTAACGATGGTAAGGCTTTAAAGGTTTTTGCATCTGTTACGAATAATACATGGATAATTGATTCCGGTGCTACTGAACATATGACTTGTGATTCTAGATAGGTACAAACCCTAAAACCATCCACCAAAACTGTTGTCAGTCTTGCCAATGGTAATCCTGCCCCTATTATTGGGGAAGGTGCTGTCTCCTTTTCAGATACCCTTAATCTTGATACCGTGCTTGTTGTTCATTCACTTGATTATAATTTATTATATGTTGCTCAAATAACTATTTCCTTACATTGTCTTGTTATTTTTTGGCTTTTTTTTGTGTTTTTAAGGATATTCGGACACGCAAGACGATTGGTTATGGTATCAGAAAAGGAAGGCCTTACCACTTGGAGCTGACATCGAACAGTACCTAGATGTTGACTCACGCTCTTACTGTGAGAGGATCTCAGGGGAGCGGAATAAAGCTTCAGACGTTTGGTTGTGGCATTGTCGACTTGGACATGCTTCTTTCCGTTATTTACAGAGGTTGTTTCTTAGCCTATTTATTAAGAATGACGTTTCTAGCTTTAAATGTGGTGTTTGTGAACTAGCTAAAAGTCATCGTACTTCATTTTTGTCCAGTTTGACAAAAAGTTCTGTTCCGTTTATGATAATTCATTCTGATGTTTGGGGACCATCTAAAACTGCTACATTTGGTGGTGCTTATTGGTTCGTTACTTTTATTGATGATTGCACACGTAAGACTTGGGTTTGTTTGATGAAGTCAAAAAGTGAAGTTCCTTCCTTGTTCTAGCAATTTCACAATATGGTGTAAGTACAGTATAAGTCACAAATACAGGTTCTCAGGAGTGATAATGGTGGCGAGTATACGAACTCTGACCTTCGTGCCTTTCTGGATCATCATGGTATTGTTCATCAAACGACATGTCCATACACTCCACAACAAAATGGAGCTGCAGAGCATAAAAACCGTCAACTTTTGGAGGTTGTCCATGCTTCCTTACTCGATGGGCGTCTCCTGTTATCCTATTGGGGAGAAACTCTAATCTCGGCTGCGTATCTCATTAATCGTGTTCCATCCCGATCCGTTGATTTTCAGACGCCTCTTCAGGCTCTCTCCTCCCATGTTGATGCTCCTGCAGTTCCAAATCTTCCACCTCACGTGTTTGGCTGTGTGGCTTTTGTTCATCTC